TCCTTCCTTCTTTCTTTCTTTCTTTCTTTCTTTCTTTCCTTCTTTCTGATTTTTTTGAGACAGGGTTTCTTTGTTGCCTTGGCTTTCCTGGAACTCACTTTTTAGACCAGGCTGGCCTTGAACTCAGAGAGATCTGCCTGTCTCTGCCTCCCCAGGGCTGCGTTTAAGGGCATGGGCCACCACCGCCCAACATTTTCCTCTCTTAGTGAAACTAAACTAAGAAGCCAATACTTGGATCTTTTGGTGTCTATGCTGAGTCTATAGGAAGACTCAGAAGAGTTCTAAACAAATGGAAGACTAAATACCAAACAGCTACAGGATTAAAATTGGCTACCAGCAGCAGTAAATAAAGATGTAGCGATTAACTCAAATTGTTCTAACTTTCAGGGTCTATCAGTGGTGTCAGCGATGCTCTTAAAGCAGTAGTTCTAAACTTGTGGATCACAACACTTTTGGGGTGTCAAATGACAGGGGTTGCATATCAGATATCCTGCATATCAGATATGTATACTACAGTTCCTGACAGTAGCAAAATTATAGTTATGAAGTAGTAATGAAGATAATTTTAATGGTTGGGCATTTGGCCTCATGAGGCCCAGTGTAATTTTCTAAGCCTATCTTGAGTTTGGTGATGCCTAGTGTAACTTCCTGAACCTAACTTGAGTTTGGTGAGGCCCAGTGTAACTTTCTAAGCCTAACCTGAGTTTGATGAGGCCCAGCATAACTTCCTAAGCCTACCTTGAGTTTGTTGATGCCCAGTGTAACTTCCTGAATCTAACTTGAGCTTGGTGAGGCCCAGTGTAACTTCCTAAGCCTAACTTGAGTTTGGAGAGGAGTGACTCAGAACAGTCCGACCTAGACTCTCCTCTGCCCAGCCATTGCTGATATGGCAGGATATTATTGATCCTTATTCCTTACTCTACCTCACCCCATCCCAAGACTCCAGCCCACTGCATCAGCCCTATATAAGTTCCTGCCCTGATGCAATAAAGTGAGATCTTGCTTCGACAGACTCCGGCTCAGTGTATGTTTCTCCTTGGCTCTGCCTCAGCCCAATCTGCTGGAGAACCTGGCAGTTGGGGAAGGGGGTGGAAGTCACTGCAGCAGGGGAAACTGTATTAGAGAGTTCCAATGTTAGGAAGGTTGAGAACCACTGCCTTAAAGGAATGCCTGGCCAGCTGGATCCCTCAGCTGCATAATTTGGGAGAAGGAGATTGCATTTACCATGAAGCTAACAGAAAGAAAATGTTTGAGTCATGCTTGATGAAAGATGTTGCGCTTTTATTCCCAAGAACACGCTCTTGGATCTCTTGGATCAACAGTTTTTCGGGGCCTTTCAAGGATTAGCCACCCGTGCCAACACATTTTAGAAAAATTAAGTAATTAAAACAAAAGTGAAACTAGAACCATAAGAATAAAAGAGAAAGAGGGAGAAACTGTGGGAAACAAATTGTTATGGTTCAGTTTCAGCATGAAGCACTCTTCAGTTCTTCAGAGTTACAGATAAACAGAAAGTGCCAGCCTCCCCCATCCCCCTCTGGCGGTGACTGGTGCTGGCTTCTCTCAGAGCTCCAAGGTCTGGAAGCTACAGGTAGCATCCTTGTGACTGAGCCCACAATCAGGAAGGAGGGAGGGCAGCCTCAAGCCTCAGAGTATCCATTACATAACCCTTTGTGTCTTAAACCAGTAGGACTGGGGACTTGGGAAGGTAGCACAAGTCCTAGCCTATGAGAAGACAGGACTGGCATTTCTAGCCATCAGGGGACTTTGAAAATCCTTGACTTGTGCTGAGTCAGTGTGCCAGCCACTTTTCTCCATTTCTCCGTGCTGCCGTCCCTTTCTGCAGAATAGCATATTAAAATCTCTTCTTCTTCTTCTTCTTCTTCTTCTTCTTTTTTTTTTTTTAACCAGACTCTTGAATTGTTATTGTATTTCCAACAGTGATGATGACTCCCCAGTTAATTGTTCAGTTCCAGGCTTGGTCCATTTCTTCTGGCTATTAAGGGTGAGGCTGTTTTGGCAAGGCTGCCTAAATCCAGAGAATAATTCCTACGCTGATTGGCTGCCCATTGTTTTTCTTTCTAACAGGCACCTCTAACGCATTGAGGGTTGACGAAGTTCAAGGTTTCTTCAAATAATGGTCAGCCTACAAGGGTGACAGGGCCGAGGAAAGCAAACGCTGTGTGACCCCCATTTCCCGTTGTTCACCTCCACACACCTGTTGAGCCCTCCCACGGATTCCCCACCTGTCCCTGTCACTCCTTCCTTGTGCTCGCTCTCCATTTGTTTGTGTTGCTTTCCGAGCACAAAGACTTGCCTAAGAAATTGGCTTTGATTCGTTCAGCAATCTGGCCTCGCGGTGGGGGCAGATTGGCTTATGGGCACCTGCTTCCCGTATGACTGATGCTCCAATACATGTGTGCTTGTGCAATTAAAGGAGAGCTGATTCTTTTGGCTTGGGTTGAATCCTGGGTGGCCCTAAGAACGTGAACGAGTCACAGGCGGAATATGGGTGGGAGGAAGCCGGCGTGCCTGGCAAGGGAAATGGCATACAAAGGTAACTCCTCTCTTTGTCTCCCTGTGTTACCCACTGTGAGTGACAGAGTGGGTGGCAATGGGTCAGAGATTGCTAGGCAGGAGGCCAAGGCAGCAAAGCTAGTGTACTGGCACACTCAATAGCCTATTTCCTATTTCCCAGGGCCTAGCAGGCCACAGACCCACACCCCTCCGTTTCCTCTCCTCCTGGCTCCTTAGCATGCCTGCCTCTTTGCCATCAAAAGCTCAGCTCTGACCCCCGCCATCCAGTCTATCTTTCCCCATCTTCTGCATTCCATGCTCTTTTCCAGATTCACAGCTTCGAATCCCAGTTTTCTCCTGTCCTGGTCATTGCACCACCTTCCTCATCGGGCTTCAGGGCTGCGTCCCCTTACTACTCCTCACATCACGCGTGCTTCCAAGGAATCTTCCTGCAAGTTGCGTCAGGCGCCTTCTTTCTAACCATAGAAATTTCAGATTCCGCTGTGCACTGTGTACAAGCGGGGCCACATTCATATTCATGGCCAAGCTGTCTTTCCCTCCTGCCTCTGTCTATTCTCACAGGACGCTAATCTCTTCCGAAGGCCACCCAAAGATTTTGGGGTCCCTCAGCGAAATGCCACTGAAAATAGGCTGTACCCACCAGTGCGGACCTGTGCATACTTGTCAATGGTCTTCAATGAGATCAGCATCTGTGTTAAGGAAACGTTGACCTTCCATTCCAACGTGGCATTCTTTAGCTGGTGTGATTTGAAACAATACACACATACAGCAACGAAAAGCACCGTGGCCTTTGTGAGTTGCTCGAGAAACACCACCCTAGCTTGTCTCATAGCCCGTCAAGCCGGGCCTCTCCCTGAACTCTCTCCTCAGCTCCCAGTTACACTGTTGGCTCCTTGGAGCTGTTTTATTATTTTTGTATTGGGAGCTCAGTTCCTCCCTACTGCTGCTTCCTCCTGGAGGACCGCTCTCCAGAACATGTGCGGAGCAGCTGGCTTTAAAAAATACACCTGCTGTTTAGAACATCTGCTCTCTGGTGTGGAAATTGGATTCAAATTTTAAAGCACGATTTACTTTACCCCTCTAAAATAGTGTTTTTTCCTGTTTAACACAGTAGTTTTTCTCTAAAGAGTTTTTAAAATCAACTATTGAAATGCAGATTATAAGCAATAAAGGGCACTGATTGTGTGTGTGTGTGTGTGTGTGTGTGTGTGTCTGTGTGTGTGTGTCTGTGCATCCACATTCAGAGGTCAGAGATCACCTGCATCTTGGGAATCTTCATCAATTGTGCTTTGTCTCACTTTTCTTCAGACAGGGTCACTTATTTTCCAGCTTACAGGTTTTGCTAAACAACCTGCCCAACAAGCCACCAGGCCCTCCCCGAGAGCTGGGATTAAAGGCACATGCTGTGACAATCAGTTTTTTACACTGGAGTGTTAGGAATCCAAAGTCAGGTCCTTGTGCATACATGGTAAGTACTCTACTGACTGAGCCATCTCCCCAGCCCAAGCATACTCTGCTTTTATTATACAATTTGATGGATTTTGACCAAAGTATGCACTTGGAAGATCACCATCCCAGTCAGAGATGGAGCAATGCCTGCTCCCCCTGGAAATCCCTCTAAGCACTCAGTGGCCAATTCCTCTTCCGAGGCAGCTGAAGGCAACAGCTGATCTGAGCTCTGCTATTATAGGTTAGTCTGGCTGCTTTTAGAATACTTTGTGGGTAGGGCCGTCATGGATGCTGGGCTGCTGGCAGATTTGCCCAGTGGGGTGGTTTTCAGAGTCCCCCGTGACTTGGATGTATCAGTGGTTCAATCCTTCGAGCTGCTGAGAAGCCTTTCGGTGCGCATAGCACGTTTTGTTTACCCATTCTCTTGTTGATAGACATCTGTCTGGGTTAGTTCCAGCTTTTGACTGCTTGGATAAAGTCCTCTGAACATTCGTGTACAAATCTTTGTTTTGACAACTGTTTTCATTTCCCTTGGGTAAAAGCCTAGTAATAGAATTGCCGGGTCATCTGGCGAGGATTATGATTGACTTCATTAGGAATCAACATTAATCCCCAGGTCATATTGCTTTGACAGAATCACATGATTTCTGACTGGACCCTAGGTTTAATGATCCTTGCTGAATTGCACTTTGCCACAGCGCTGTTCCTTTCTGAAATGGCCTCATTCCTTTTCTCCAGGGACTGGCTATACTGAATCACACAGGGAATTCTGCATCTGGGGTCCTCTAGAAAAGTCAGAACCTTTCAGTTTGCTCATTGCTGTAAACACTGCTTAGTTCAATGTTCCTGCTAGAGGTCTGACTCAGATTGCTTACATATTAAGAAATGACCGAATACCCTTTTCTCCATTTCTAGAACCACTCATGATGTAAGGTCAACCCACATTCTCCAGCTTACTCCAGGAAATGTGTTTTCATCTTTGCTCCCAATGACACCATGTTGACTTCTCTGAATGACTTCATCATTCAAATTGGAATTTCCTTGGAAAGATCTTTTTTTGTTGGTCATGAGGAAGGCAGTGTCCTTGTTACTTTATCATTAAACATTTCTCCCTTCCTTCTAGTACCCTTCATAATTTTTTACTCTACATTTGCTTCCCCAAACACTCATCTTTCCTTCTCTTCCTCTTTTCGCTAGAAATCAAACTACAAAGTGAGGAGGTTTGTCTATCTGTCTGTCTCATCAGTATGAACAAGGGTCCAACACAGTATCTGTTTGTAGTCATGTCCAAGAAACTCATAGATAATAAAATGATGATTACCCAAGCCCTTTATCTGCATAACTTACCTGGAAATTAGTGACCCTTTCCTATGAGTGCCAGATAGTTTTTAGGCACAAAATTTAGCATCTCATTGTCTTACCCCTCCCTTTAAAGAAGCTTTTTAAAGATAAGGATGAGCAAGGTGCTGAGAATGAGTGACTCTGAGAGCTCAGCCCAACCCCCAACTCCACCCCAAGGTGCAGGGAGCATTGCAGAAGAGAAGGTGGAAAGAATGCAAGAACTGGAACATGGGGAGGAGCGCTGTGGAACGCTGTCCTCTGGGCATGGCGTGACTGTTGCATGCATGAACCCACAGCGACTGACTGTTGTCACCAACTACACAAGATCTGTCAAAAGGTTAAGCCTGTTAAAAATTCAACGTGGATAGGGTTAGATTTCCTGACTCCTTTTCCCTGCTGAGAAGACATTGGCAGTTGATGATTTTGAGGGACAGATAGTCACTTTTATTTGGGCATTTGGCTATTGTCATGGTGGGTAGTCCCACACCCATGTCACACGAGCAGCTCTAGTTGGACTTGTGGGTCATAAAAAAACAAGAAGAACACGAACTCGTGAGGGAGATGTGTCGGGGATAGGGGAGAAGTTGAAGGAGGGAGTGAAGTCCTTATGGCCGAGATACTGTGTACATGTATGAAAATGTATAAGAATAAATGATAGTAGATAAAATATTAAACAGGGACCAGTATCCCATGCACACTCTTTCACATCAATGCACTGGATACTTTTAGAGCATTGTTGCACACATTTGTTTCAGTAAGCATTGAAAGAAAATTCCATTTGTGATTAGAAAGCTTGGCCTCTTTACCTCCCGATAAAATGAGGACCCAACTTGCTGAGACACCATCCCTGGGCCTGCCTGATGAGAAACGCCTTCTGTCTTACTAGTAGTGTGTGCTGTGCCAATCCTAGCAGTGACAGATAAGAAGCCAACCAAACAGAATGAAAACAAACAAACAAAAATCTCACCTAAGTTTATGGGAAATCTCCATGCAGCTTTCTGAAGACTTACTCCACATAAGATGTTTCTGGAAAATCAGCTGGTTTGACTCAGGGCCACCATTGTACAAATGATAAAGCAGTTGCCTGATTAAGTCTGCATGATTGAGGCTGGGACTGAGAGGGTCCAGCATCTGGCTTCCCATCCTGAAGCTGGTGCCCTTTAATTTCATCGGTCCGTCTCACTAAAGGATATTTTTAGTACATTGTACTTATTAAATATAGTTTTATGTTCTCTGACCCGTCCTAAAAGCTTGTGAGCCAAATGTTTTATATCCCTCTGAGAAACATAAATTAAATAGCTCATTTTATGTGCTCTCTAATTGATCTTGCAGCTTTGTTTGGAGACTCAGCCCAGGCAGAGGTGAAGGAACACAGTAAAAGAACCACTGCCCAAGGGGTAGGTTGTAGTATTCTCATTATAGTGAGTCCTTTGGGTGACCAAAGACACCCCATGTTCTACTTTGGTTTCTATTGCTGTGATAAGCATCATGACCAAAGTCACTTGGGGTAGGAAATGGTTGGGTTTTTTTTTTCCAATTTACATTTTATAGTCCAATATGAAGTAAGTCAGAACAGGAAGTTAGGGCTGGAACCTGGAGGCAGGAACGGAAGCAGAGGCCTTTGTGGAGTCCTGTTCACTGGCTCACTCTCCATGGCTTGCTTGGCTTGCTTTTTTATACAACCAGGCCCAAATGCCCAGGGTTGGCACTACCCACAGTGGGCTGAGCCCTCCCATATCAATCAGGAAAATGCCCCAAGCTTGTGTATGGGCCAGTCTGAAAGAAACAGGTTATTTTTTTTTCAATTGAGGTTTCCCCTTTCTAGATGTCTGACTTTATTTACTCTCTGTGACTGTGAAAAAAAATTTACATGTTTTATCAATCCCAAACACAGCCAATCACTGAGGGAAATCAGGACGGGAACTAAGCAGGGCAGGAACCAGGAAGCAGGAACTTAAGCAGAGACCACGGAGGAATGCTATTTAAGGGCTCTTTCTTCATGGCTTTTTCAGCTTGTTTTCTTAACTACCAGAACCACGTGCCCAAGGGTGGCATTGCCCATAATGGGCCAGACTCTTACACAGCAGTCATTAATGAAGACAATGACCCACAGACTTGCCTACAAGTCAGTTTGCTTGAGGCATTTTCTCAGTCTAGATTTCCTCTTCTCAGATGGCTTTAGCTTGTGTCAAGTTGACAAAAAACTAACCATCGGGTCCCCTTAAATTATTAGAAGGTCAGGGAACACTAAAATTGCAAAGATATTGGTAAACAATGTGTGTGTGTGTGTGTGTGTGTGTGTGTGTGTGTGTGTGTGTGTGTTATGTAAACTGAAGCCCGGACAGGGAAAGAGTTGTCATTGGACTTGTGCCGTGGTTAGTTACCTGCAGAGACACAGGTAGAACTTGGTTTCCCTCCTCCCACAGTGATGCCTTTCTATCCACCTTATCATTGATTCTGTTTCGTCTGGTTAGAGATGCCTATTCTGAGCATCATTGATCCTGGTTAGAGATGCCTATACCAGGCATTAATTCCAAAATTTTCTGTGTGTCACTGTAGATCTAGGCATAGATGAAGTGGAATAGCACACGGGTTAGCAAACACTATCCTTGGAGCTCGTAACTATGTATGTACAGTGTTAGGTCTTTCCTTGGGGAGAGAGAACTAAAGCCTTATTTATCCGAGACTTGGCTTCAGGCATATATCCCCAGGCAACATTCGTTTCACAGGGCATCTCTTTGACTGGAGGGTAAAGTGACATTTCCTCAGAAAGTTCCTGGAAACTACCCATCAGGTCTTCTGGCTGGGAAGACAGCAGACTCATGGTGAGAGGCTGGCAAGGTAACTGGATCTGCCAGTGGTGCCAACAGAACACCTCAGCACAGGCTCTGGCTGTCTCCGAGCCTCCATGTAGAGGCCTTGTTGGTTCTAGTATTGCCCAGTGTAAAAGGACAGAAAGGAAAGCTGGTGGTCCAGGTGTGTTTGTGAGAGTTTCTAGACTAGGTTAATTGAAGTCTGGAGATCCACTCTAAATTCTGGCAGTGCCATTCTGTGGGCTAGGGGTCTTAAACTGTATAAAAAGAGAAAGCAGTCTGGGCACCAGCATTTCTCTCTTTGCTTCCTAACTGCGTATACTGTGTTACAAGTTACTCTGTGCCACGTAGTTCTTGCCACGATGGATGCTATCCCTCAGGCTGCGAGCCAAAATAAACCCTTTCTTCTTTAAGTTGCTCTACTCAGGCAATCAGCATAGTGACAAGAAAACTAGAGATGTCCCCACTAATTTAGATGAAGATCCCTAAAATCAGCTCTCAGCTCAAGTTTTGAACTCTACTGTGTTTGAGCTGTATACTGAGTACCACCTAGTTATTCATTTTGTCTCAATTTGTACACGTGTACAAATGTTGTACCTATACCTTTAGGCTATAATAACGGAGCTAATGCAAGTCAAATAGTGGTCACAGTCCTTGACATATAGAAGGTTTCAATAAATATTGTTTCTACTGTTTTCATTTTCCTTCCCGCCATTTTCATCATCACCCATGCCAAAAGTTCTTTCTGCCCTGGCGACCTGTGTTCATTTAAGCAACTGTTGCAGTGACGCAGGAGACACAACGTGACTCCCTAAGTCTACTCTTACCCTTACTAGGAAGTATCCTAGTTGGTTCTCTTGGCCTGCTCCCATCTTGTGCTTGGGGGAATAAACCAGCTCAAGCTTGAGCTCTTGAGACACAGCTGCTTCACCGCTAACCAGATCATATTTCCCGCAGAGAAGAGAGAAGGAGCAAAGACTAAGTTTCAGCTAAGCATTTAGAGTACACCGTGACCCTCCTAAGGTGTCCACAGTGGACTCTGCGCTCAGTGAGTCCCTCCTCAAATACCATATGGAGACGCCACGCTTGAGTTTCCTTGTTAATTGGGTGACTTTAGCCAAGTTGTTTCATCCACACGAGGGCTCTGGGTTCTCTGAGCTCTGGTATTTGGGTGGTACTGAGAGGGATGTGTTTACCAACAGGTCACTGAGGGATGGGAAAGCTTGCTGACAATGTGAAAGATACAGATTTTGAGCTGGAGGGTGACCCTTGTTTGGTGCAGGAGGTCCTTATGTCTATGTGTCGTGTTTACTGGTTAATGAATAAAGAACTGGCTTGGCCTATAGCATGGGAGGAGGGAGGTGGAGATGGGGAGATGCCATGGAGCCGTTGCCAGAGTCAGGCATGCCAAAACTTTGCTGGTAAACCATTGCCATGTGGAAATGGGTTAAATTAATATGTAAGAGTCAGCCAATAAGAAGCTAGAGCTAATGGGCCAAACAGTGATTTAAATAATATGGTTTCTGTGTGATTATTTTGGGGCTCAACAGCTGGGAACTAACTAGCAGCTTCCCTCCAACACTTGTTTGTGTGCTCTGAGGACCAGGATCCATGAGGGAAGTCTT